AGGGAATGCCTGAAACCATGAATAGTACGGAACCATATACAGTAGGCCCTCTTTATCCACAGGTTCTGCATCTGCAGATCCAACCAACAGCAGACTAAAAATATTAGAAAAAAAAGGCAGATCAAAAACGTTTTTAAAAAAAACATTAAGGGGCCGGCCCGGTGGTGCACTGCTACAGTGCGCCGCTTGGGAGTGCGGCGGCGCTCCCGCCGAGGGTTCGGATCCCACATACAGACCGGCCGCTCACTGGCTGAGCGAGGTGCGGGCGCAACACCGAGGTTTGCGATCCCGTTGCTGGTCCCGGTCCGGTACGGGTGCAACACTGAGGGTTGCGATCCGTTGCCGGTCACGAAAAAAGACAAAAAGGGAAAAAATAAAAATAAAAAAATTAAAAAACATTAAAACATAGTACAACGATAAAAAATACAAATAAAAAACAATACAGTATAACAACTGATGGAGTTTGGTTGTATTGTCCTCCCAGAACTCATGTGGAAACGTGATCCCCAATGTGGCAGTGTTGGAAACTGATTGAGTCATGGGGGCGGATCCCTCATGAATGGATTAATGCTCTCCCTGGGGGAGGGGGAATTAATGAGTGAGTTCTCGCTCTATCAGTTCCCAGAAGAGTGGGTTGTTTAAAAGACCCTTGCACCTCCCCCCCCTCTTGCTTCCTCTCTCCATGCGATCTGCGAAGAGCGGGTTGTTTAAAAGACCCTTGCACCTCCCCCCCCTCTTGCTTCCTCTCTCCATGCGATCTGCTTGTACCTGCCACCTGCCTGCCGCTTTCCACCATGAGTAGAAGCAGCCTGAGGCCTTTGCCAGATGCAACTGTCCCAGAATCACAAGCCAAATAAATCTCTGTTGTTTATAAATTACCCAGTTTCAGATATTTCTGTTATAGCAACACAAACGGACTAACACAACAACCATTTATATGGCATATACATTGTATCAGGTATTATAAGTAATCTAGAGATGATTTGAAGTATTTGGGAGGATGTGCATAGGTTATATGCAAATACTATCCCATTTTATATAAGGGACTTGAGCATCTGTGGATTTGAGTATCTGCAGGGGTGTCTTGGAACCAGTCTCCCACAGATACTGAGGGTCAACTGTATGTACTATGTTTTTTCTATACATCCATACCTATGATAAAGTTAAATTTATAAATTAGGCACAGTAAGCGATTAACAACAATAATTAGTAATAAAATAGAACAATTATAACAATCTACTGTAATAAAAGTTATATGAATGTGTTCTCAAAATATCTTACTGTACTGTACTCACCTATTTTCAGACTGCAGTTGACTGCAGGTAACTGAAATTATGGACAGCAAAAACCATGGAAAAAGGGGACTACAGTATACAGGGTACACTGGCCCCCAGATATTGTCTCCCACTCTGCACCATGGAATTTTATCATGGGAATCTCATTTCTTTTTCTGGAGATTCTTGGCTCCAAAGACATGCAGTCCTGGTTTCACACGGCTACTGAGCTGTCCCATAAACTTCAGCAACATTGACATTGAGTTTCTCACCCCTCCCCTGAGAGCAGGTGTTAATAAGGAGAGGAGGCCAGAGGATAAGACACCCGAGGGAGAAGTGGGGATGGGGAAAAGGGCACATCCTTATTAGTCACCTAGTATGTGCCAGGAACTGTCCAGGTGCTGAGCTACATCATCTGACCCAACCTTCACAACAGTCCCATGCTATGGGTGTAATCGGTTCCATTTCACAGATGAAGATGTGGAAGCTCATGGGAGATAATGTCCCTAATCAAGGTCCCACAGCCAGGAAGTGGTGAAGTCAGCATTCCTTCCCAGAAGCCCCTGTTCTTCCGACTGTGCCCCTTCTGGGGGTGGGGTGGGCACAAAGAATCAACCCACATTTCACAACCTGACCCCTGAAAAGCAGCAATGTTGAGCAGGTAGAGGGGACCTGACAGGACACACAGCTGAAGCTCTGTGGCCTGAGGCAGCCCAAGGCCTGAATTCATCATTCAAACAGCCAAGACCCACTACCTTCCAGAAAGCTCAGCAGATCATCCATCAAGGGCCCCAAAATGGCTAAGCAAGCTGAGAAAATCTCCAGGATGAGCAATGGGGCTTGCAATCCTAAAAGTAGAAAGAGCAACTCCACCCCCTCCCCATGCCAGCAGGCCTAGAGGCCAGGAGTAGGGGTGCTAGGGCCCCATAGCAGCTCCGCAGGGAAAGGAGGCACCTTGGATCCAGCTGAATGGGAAGGAGTAGGAAGGGGCATCTGTTCACTCTGCATAGCCTCCCTCTCAACCCTAAGAATAGCCCCTGGGAAAAGCATACCCCACTTTCAACCCCAGAGACAGTTCCTCCCTAGGATCTGCAGACTTGGAGCAAAAAGTTACCCTACTGCCCAGTGCCTCCCCGCCTCTGCCACCCACCCCTCTGGGCCCCTGGCAGGGACTGTGCCCTGGTCAGGACAGCTGGTAGCCTATGTGCTTCCACCCCCACTCTCTCTGTGTTCCCAACTCCCAGGTCATGACAGAGGGGCAGGAGAAAGAGACCAAGCTGAGGGGACTGTGCCCTGGTCAGGACAGCTGGTAGCCTATGTGCTTCCACCCCCACCCTCTCTGTGTTCCCAACTCCCAGGTCATGACAGAGGGGCAGGAGAAAGAGACCAAGCTGAGGGTGGAGCCTTAGAAGGAAAGGGGGCATGGATCCAAAGGAATATAAAGGGTCTCGGAGTTCTTAGGCAGAGATCCTCTGCCGTGCCACTCTGCACCTGCTCAGCGTCATGGTAACGTCTGGGCCCCCTGTCAGCTATGTTCTCCAGGAGCTTGGGGATTGAGGCTGACACCAAGAGCCTCTCCCCAGGCCCATTAAGGGCATGAAGGAGTGAGGCCAGGGCAGTCTCTGTCATTCTGATGGCCAGCACAGGTGCCAGGGCTTCCTATCCCTGCTTGGGGTGGTGGGGATGAGGTTGAGGGGTTCAGGAGCTCTGGGGGTGTGTTTCATGTTTATGGGCATCACGGTCTGTGAATAATGTGTGTGCCTGTGTGCTGCAGGCACAAAATTCTCTGTGCATGGTTGGGTGTGCATGTGGGAATCCCTGGGCTGGAGTTCCTGTGTACAACTGTATTAGCCATCCATTTAACATAGGGTATTTTTGAGCACCTACTAAGCGTCAGGCACTGTTCTAGGTGCTTGTAATACATCAATAGACAAAACAGGCAAAGAGCTCAGCTATTATGGCCTTTACATCGAGGGAGGAGGTGCCACTGGGAAAGGACTCAAAATAAATATAAGTATAGAATATAGTAAGTTAAAAAGTGCAATGGGCAAGATGAGACTGGGTTGCAATTTTAAATAGAGGTGTCAGAGTAGGAACCATTTAGAAGGCGAATTTTGAGCTGATGTCTAAAGGAGCTAGCCATGGGGTGTCTGGAGGAAGTCTTCCAGGCAGAGAGCAGTATGTCCGGCGTTTTTGAGGACCGGCGAGGAGGCGAGAGAGGCTGGAGGGGGGTGAGCAGAGAGTGTGCCGGAGAGGCCGGTGAGGTTAGGGAGCTGACCCACGGCTCCAAACCGTCCTCGCGTGTCCACCTCGGGGCATGCCCACCCGTCCACCTTCGCTTCGGTGCTGTGCGTGCAGCCCCGTGCACGTCCAGGTGTGTGCATCCTCCCTGGGCACCAAGATGTCCCTTGCGGCGCTCGTGCGCCTGTGTATGTCCCCGAGGCAGACCCGCCCCTCTCCGAGCGCCCCGCCCCCCAGCTTACCCGCCTCGCCCCCCCCACAGGCGCCGGCTCCGCGCTGCGCGTGCGCACTGGCCCTGGCGTGCCTCGTGTCGCTGCTGCTGTGGCCCGAGGGCGCCCTGGGGGAGGAACTGCAAGTGCAGCAGTCGTCCAGACCCAGGGTGGCCAACTGGCTGGCCACCTTTGAAAGCCAGATCAACAAGTACGCGAAGAAGCTCTTCCACACCAGGTGGGCCGGCGGAGCGCTCGAGGGAGGGACGGAGGGAGCGGGCGGGGAGGACACGGTCGCCGCCTGGCGCCCCACGCGCGTCGCGGCCGCGAGCTGGCCTCGGGGAGCGGCCCCATGACCGCTGCAGAGACTGTTCCCCAGGCTGAGGAAATCCAAAGACCAGAAGAAAACCGCGAACGCCACGAAACCGCCCCCAGGGAACACCACCAAACCCTCCCCACCGACAGCCACGAAACCCCAGCCGTTGATTGTCGTGGAGCCCCGACCCCCGACCTCCTCCCGGGGCCCCAGGTAGGAGGGCTTGGACACTGCTGCTGGGAACTGGAGGCAGCTGGGGACAGCGAGAGGAAGCTCGGGGTGGGGGCTTGGGGAAGATACCGGGACCCCCTGGACTTCCTTCTCCAGGCTGGGCTTTGGCCTCCGGACGCCTGACCCGGGTGTCGCTGTCCCCCTGCCTCTTTATATTGTGAGAGGGAACTCAACTCCCCACCCCCAGAGTGAGAACAATAAAGAGAAACACAATCTCTATTGCTTCTGTGACTTCTGTGGGCTGGGGCAGAGAGGGACGTGTCCTTCAAGGAGGAAAGGGGACCCTGGAGCTCCTGCTGTGGGAGAAAAAGACCTCAGCTGCAGGGTCCTCCCGCAACCCATCCGCTTTCCCCCACCTCACCCACGTACTGAGGGAGAGCAGAGGTGAGAGAAGCCTGTCCCAGCAGCCTCAAAGGCAGACCCTCCTCCCCAAGCTTCTACACAGAATGGGGCAGCTTCGGATGCCAGCCTGGGCTGTCGGTGTCGGCACGGGAACAAGCAGAGGGGCCTTTGTCTGCCCGTCAGTGTGCAGATCATAGGGGCCATCTTTGCCTCTGGCTGTGAGCTGAGCAGGGGAAGGGGAGGGGCCTAGCCTGGGCCTGTCCCTGAGAAGCTGGATGTGGTGGCGCTCTCCTCTGGGGACCTGTGGCCATCAGAGAGGCCTTGGCACGGGCAGAGGCTCCTCCCATGATCCAATTCTGACACCCAGGTATGTCTCAAGCAGGGTCCAAATTCCCACCCCGGGAAGTGTCTACACCTCTTCCCACTCGGAACCCATCCCCTTAGCTGCCAGAGAAAATGCTGGGACTTCAGGTTCCATCATCCGAACTCAAACTCTGTTCTACTGGAACCAGCCCCCCATCCAGACACCCCTTGGATTTAAGAATCAATAAGAGCCAGTGTTGGCCTAGCAGCTGCGACCTCTAGAAGCCTTTTATCTTTTAGGGCCTGGTTCCACTTCACTCATTTGCACGCAGCAGGTGGAGCCAAGACATGAGGGGAAATGCGATCATGGTGTCATTGCCATGGGGTCAGTGCAAGGTGCTGGGCCCAAGAAAGTGGACCCCTCATCCACCAGACCCACAAGCCCCATCCCTTCAGGCTGAGCACATGGGGGAAGCAGGAGAAGCCACTCTGGGAACCAGAAAGCTTCTAATTCTCTCACTTCTCCCTGTCCCCCGTGACTGTCCCTTATCCACAGGTGCTCCTGACCCGGAGAAAGGGGAGAGAGACAAGGCCACTCCCTCCCACCTTACACACACATGCACACACCGCCCCATCCGCACCTACTCAGGGTGCTGAGAAGGGCAAAGGCAGGACAGGCCAGGGGACTCCTCAGGGCAGGCCTCCTGGGGCAGGATCCGGGTCCTTGCCCTCCCACGGCTGGAGTGTGGAATTCACAGCTTGGATTCATGGAGGTGGCTGGAACTGTCAGCTACCTAACCTCCTCTCCAGAAGGCCGTGTACCCCGTGTGGCCTCTCCTCCTGCAGAGGCTTGAATATCTCCTGTGTCCAGGAGTTCTCTACCTCTCAGGACAGCCCCTTCTCTCAACATTTCTGGAGAGCAGCTCAGGCCACCCAATATAGCCAGTGACTGCCTTAGTGCCAGAGTTATTCCTCTGGGCCAGGCTGTGGCCACATGCCAAGGATGCTTTAGTGTAAATAGTGCTTCACCTGCTGCCTAGGGCATAGGAAAGCATTGGTGGAAGGTACGTTAGGGGCAGGGTTGTCATCACATCCATGATCAAGTAGGGCTAGAGGTGCTGAGATGGGAAGATTCAACCTCCAGACTGCAGTTTAACTGATATGCTGAATGACCTTCGGGGAGTCCCTGCCTCCCTCTGGGCCACAACTTGTCCCTCTATGAAGAGAGGCTGAACTGAGTGGCTCTGATGAGCCTACAGACATTCTGGATCACTTATAACAGCCCCCTTTCCCCTGCTCCTCCTCACTGCCTTCCTCCTTTCTCTCCTGTGCATGTGGCCTGCTCCTGCCCACACCAGGGGTCCACAGAGACACAGAGAGAGGCTATGACTTTGACTTGCTTTATTTAGCCTGTGTGGGAGTAGAGAGTAAGCTTTGGCCAGAGCCAAGGGTGTGGAGGGGAGAGCTGGGCTGGCACTGCACATGGAGCCATAGGAAGCAGGAGGTGACATTACAAGTCCATCGGGCTGAGCTCCCTGTGTGGAGAAGGCAGAACATGGCAGAGCCCTTGGGAGACCCTAGGCCAGCTGTGGGCCCCTGTTCTCTCTCCCCCACCCTGCCCCCATGTCTTTTCAGGCCCTGATTCAGCCCCCCTCTGCATTTCAGCCCCAGGGAGCTGGACAAACAGGGCAGAGAATCAAACCCACCTGGGAGCAGCTGCATGAGGGGAGCCCCATTCCAAGAATTCCAGGGTGTCCTCTTTGTCTCTTTTCCCATACCTGTGGGAGAAGAGGCAGCTGGGGCAAGCACTGTGCCCAGGTGCCAGCTCACCTGCCTCATACCTACCCTTAGGCACCATCCTCCTCTGGGCCCCAGGGGCACAGGCCTGGTCAGTAGAGATGCCCTGTTTTCCCAAGAGCAGGCATGAAGGGGCCAGGTCTGAGGATGGGGTTGGGGCTGTGGCCAAGAATGCGGAGTGAGCCCAGGGTCCCGGGACTGGGATCTCCCTCCCTCTCTCCCGCACATACCTAGGCCTGGTCAGCATGTTGATGTATCTGCGGAGCTCAGCCACGTACTGAGCCATCTGCTCTGGAGTGGCATTGTCCCCTGGGTATACTGGCTCCAGTGGGGCTCCACAGGCACCAAGCAGTGGCTGCAGCAACAGAGCCACACAAGTGGACAGGAGCAGCAGGAAGAGGCAGCGGTGTGCGGCAGCCATCTGAGGAGCAAGGAGTGGGAGATGCATGCAGAAGAAGCCCAGCCTGTAGATCCTCCTATGACCAGGAAGCAGGGCCCACCTGCCTGGCCCCTTAGCCTGTCACCCATTTCTCCAAGCCTGCGGGTGCCACTCGGAGCAAGCCACCTGACCTCCTAGATACCACCCTGGAGAGCACAGACAGCCCTCCTTGTGAGCAGCCCAGCAGCCGGAGCTCAGCCAGGGCCTTGGCAAGGTAAAAAAGTTGGCAGAGAAGACGGAGACATGGGGGCTGGAGCACAGGGCTCAGGACATCCAAGGCCTGATGGCTCTGGCGGGAGTTCAAGGGAAGGGGCTGGTGGGAAGTAGGAAACTTCCAGCTCACCCACAGGGTGAGGGAACACACAATGAACTTGTGAAGCAAAGGACAGAATCCGTGGCCTTGTGGGTCTGGCCCTCCCTGCAGGGATAGAGACACAGATACAGGACCTGCAGACACTATTGCCCATGTCGCCCTGGACACAGGCACACACACAGGACCCCAATCACTCAGAAGGTTGCAATCACACGTTCGTGTTCACACACACACATGCACAGTCAGCAGTCCTCTCTTTCAGTGTGACAGGTTTGCCCAGCTGCAGAGCGAGACCCAACAAGACCTTAGGCCTCTCAAGGCCCCAGCTCTGCAGAGCACCAACTCTTTCCCTCCATCCCAGGCCCAGCCGCGAGGAGCCCCCAGACCCCAGGTCAGGCTGAGCCCTCTTACCCTGAGTCCTGAGCAAGCGGATGCTGGACCAAACAGGCACCTGCCTCAAGCCAGATGGGTGCTCCTTTATAGTCCTCGGCCCCCCAGAGTCCCCGCCTCCTGTCAGCCTCTCTCACTCCCCAGCCCTCACCCCCTCCTCCCACCGTCTCCCTGGTACCTGCAATGCCAGCACTGGGGCTAAGGACAGGAGGGGGACGGGAGTGTCATGGGTGCCAGACTAGCAGCATAACAGACAAAACTGGACCACAATAAAACTCTCCTGTGAGCCCCCATCCATGGCACTTCTTTCCTTGGGCACTGGAGCAGGCTTGATTCAAGAAGGGCTCTGGGACTTCAGGGTAACTGAAAAAGGTCTGGTCACTGGCCTTGACACAGCCCCGCCACCCAAGGACCAATCCAGATCATCAAGCGGATTCCCTCAGGGCAGAAGATTGAGGCTGCAGCTCCAAGACTGCAGGGAGGAAGGATGGAATCTTAGGCCTTCTTTTCCAGTTTGCTACTAGAGCAAGGTGGGAACAGGGAAAGGGCCTCAGGTTCTTAGGCACTGTGCAAGAGAGCAGGGACCCGGGCGTGGAGAAACACATTTGGTGGGTGCATAGGACGCAGAATGAGAACTGATGTGCCTGGGTTCAGGGGAAACGGGGGGTGCCAATTTCTGGTAGCCTTTTCTCCTCCCACCCCAGAGCTCCCATTCCAGGGGAGTGATAAAAACCAGCATCATTTGTAAAGCCTCAAATTTTCCAAAGTGCTCCCAGCTCAATCCCCTCCCTGAATCCCCACAAGAACCCATTTCATAGATTCAGAAACTGAAATCTGCTCAGAGACGTAACTGGCCCCAGAACACATAGCTAGTCAGTGGGAGATCCAGAGTTTGAAACAAAGTCCACCTCCAAAACCTGGACTCTTTTTTAATAAATGGAGCTATCAAAGTCTTGCTATAACTTCCCACTTTTTGGCTGAGAAACCTGAGGCTTACAGAGATGGCGACACTTGCTCAAGATCTCAAGCTGCCTAGGTCTCAAATTTTGGCATAACCAAAATTCTCAACCCCACTAATCCCACCCTCCAGAAGCCTCAGACTCCTTCCCTTGTTCAGCGTCCCTCCGCCCAACTCAGGCCAAGGAGCAATAACTAGCTGTGTCTGAATGACACCTTGATGCCTGAGTACGAAGCAAAGGACCTCTCACCCCTGAGGTTCTTCTGTCCCAGATCAAGACACCAAGAAGTATGCGGGGTGTGTGTTGTGGGGGGTGGAGAGGGGAGGACTGGAGGTGACACCCCCAGGATCTGGCAGGGTGTGCATAGAGGTCAGACAGGCCTGGCTCCAAATCCTGGCTCTGCCATCGGCTAGCTGTGTGAGCCTGGGAAAGTAATTCCTTTAGCCTCTCTGTGAAATGGGGCTTAAGGTACAGAAGATAAAAGAAGGACCAGTAAACTCCAGTGTTCTGCCTTGTTCCTCTCAGTTCTGATTTCCAGTAATAAAAACAATATTGCTTCACCAGACAATAACTTACATTCCACAAACAAAGGAGGTCGTTCTGTGTCAACAAGCCCAGGCCTGTTGATTTTCCACCTTCCCTTCCACGCCACGGGTGGTGAACCAAGGGCGGGTCTCAGGCGGCCTCTGCTTTGGCCGGTGGAGGCTGCAGCTGCCACCAGGGGGCGCCGGGCTCCAGCCCTAGTTCCAAGGCTCTGGGCTCCCACAGGACCGTAGCCTGATGGGACTTGCTCGAGCCACGATCCACAGGAGGACGCAGCTCCACGAGACACATGGTGGATCTGGGGGTTGACTCAGGTGCCGGGGTCATTTAAAGTTCTGTCTTGTCTCACCTTTGTCAATGCCTGAGAAATAAGGGTTCTCCACAAATGTCAACCAAACTTACAGATTTCATTTTTCTTCTTTGCGAACAGCAGATTCCTTTTCTGGGTCCTCACAGAGAAGCTGTGACGATTAAGGAGGAAGAGGTAGCGGATGTGCTTTCAAAACCGTGTGCTGGCCACGTCCAGAAGGGAGAGACGGTTCTCACCCATCTCCTACGTTCCCACAGTGTTCGCATGATCCCTGCTCAGAGAAGGCACCTGTCACTGACCTGCAGATGCACCAAATGAAGACGGTGGTGGTCTCTCTCCCCCCCACCCAATGCTATGCCCCCTGGGAGGCATAGGATAATGAGACTAGGATAGGAACACCCGAGAAACACCTCGATCACAGGGTGAATGGAGGCAGGTGAAGGAGCAAAGGGAATGGGGTCACCACATACATGCCTACGAGGGCAGGACTTTGGCCAGCACCGCGTCCTCCATCCCCGGCTCCCGACCCGGCTTTCTAAACTCAGTCCCTGCTGCTTTCAGTTAACCGACCAATGTGCAGTAGTTTATCGCACTTCTGTCTGGTCTTTGCACCAGGCAGCCACCTTGGGGGTGGACATGAAGAAGCAAGGGTTCTGCAAGGAGCTCAAAGCCCAGGAGGAGCCGAAGGATGGGTTTTTTGAAAGATGAGGATACTGAAGTTCAGAAAGAGGAAGGAGCAGGCAGTGGTCACCCAGTGAGCCGGCAGCCATCCCTCACCCAGGACTATACTCTAGAACCTTCCTCACAGGTCAGCTTATTTGCGCTCCTTTGCTACCTTGTGAGGGAGGCAGGAATTACTCTTCCCACTTATTAGATGGGGAAACTGAGGCTCAGCAAGGTAGTTGATGTTGCCTGAGGTCACATGTGAGTCAGGAGTGGTCTGGACTTAAATCCAGGTCCATATAGTTCCAGGTCCTGTGCTCTATCCCTGTTTCCAGGACACCACTGCTGGCCAGAGCCTGGCTCAACTCTTAGGCCGATGTCTTATTCCCAAATTGGGTGGCAGCAGCAAAGGGGTGGAAGATGGGGAATGGCTGTCCCTAGATGCCAGGACATATCCCCTGGAGAAATCCTTGGGCTGAGAATAGCTGTGACACCTACATACACACCTTTACCTCCTTATCCCACCTCCTCAGGGCCAACTCAGGCCCAACTGGGGGCTCAGGCCACTAATTTGGAGCCTAGACCCTGCCTCTACTTCCCTCTGCCCTGTGAGGACTCCATCTGCCTCCGGGCCTCCTGAAGGCACAGGAGCGTTCAGTATTTCTCCCTTCCTGCCCCCAATGCTTGCAAAAGCAAATCCTACAACTGCCACTCCAAATTTTTCCTAAAGAGGAAGGCTTCTTTCATGCTGAAACTAAGCCAATCCACATAATAAAGTATTGAGGGTGGGGTGGGGGAGGAAGTGAACAGGAAGGAAAGAAAACCATAGGGGCTGGGTTCTGCAGAAGAGAAGGAATTTTTCCCTTGGGGTAGTTGGAGGGGAGAGATGCCAGAGCAGCTTTGGGGTAGGTAAGAAGTGAGCCAGAGGGTGAAGGAGAGCAAGGCGGATTATTTTATTTTATTTTATTTATTTTTTTATTTTAAAAGATGACCAGTAAGGGGATCTTAACTTGGTATTGTCAGCACCACGCTCTCCCAAGTGAGCTAACCAGCCATTCCTCTATAGGGATCTGAACCCGTGGCCTTGGTGTTACCAGCACCACACTCTCCCCAGTAGCCACGGATGAAGGAGAGCAAGGCGGATTATTTTATTTTATTTTATTTTATTTTATTTATTTTTTTATTTTAAAAGATGACCGGTAAGGGGATCTTAACTTGGTATTGTCAGCACCACCCTCTCCCAAGTGAGCTAACCAGCCATTCCTGTATAGGGATCTGAACCCGTGGCCTTGGTGTTACCAGCACCACACTCTCCCCAGTAGCCACGGGCTGGCCCGGCAAGGGGGATTTTAATAAGCATTACTGTCGACCTTGGGTTTTATATGTGTGATGTTCCTTGAGGAATGGGAGTCACAAGTGGAAGTGTTTTTAATTGATTTGGGTTGTGGAGGTGTTTTTCTTTAATGCAATGCCACTTGGAACCTGAGCCCCATGGGATCCTAGGTTTATAAGGGATACACATGGGCCAGGCTATGTCGGGCTGAAACAGGCTGTAGGCTCAGCTCTACCACTCACTAGCTCTGCCATTCACTAGTTGTGTGACCTTTGGCAATTTACATAATCTCTCTAAGCCTTAAAGCAGTTAACTACTAGGTCCTGTTGAACCAGTGCAGAAATGAATGCAGTGAAATGAAATGACTAGGCCAAAGTCACAGCCAATTAATGGAGAGACGGGGACTCAAATGCAGGTCTTCTGTCTCTGTAGCCACTGCACCACCTGTGAGATCCCAGCCCTTAGAGGGGCTCATGCTGTGGCCTAGACCTGTGTAAGGCTTGGATTCGGGCTACAGATAGACTCAGGGAAGAGCAGGAAGTTGTCCAGAGGTAATGACTAATGAGGTGGCCTTGAAGGCTAGTGGGGGGTTGCTATTTCACAGAAGCAAGGATGTCACAGTGGGACTGAGCAGTTTAGGGGTGCACATTGAGCAATGGTAGGAGATGCCACCAGAGGAGAAAGGGGTGTGTTATGAAGAGCCTTGAGTTTCTGGCAGAAGAGGTTAGACTTAATTTTGATAGAATCAGAACTGGCTTTCAGCTCTCTCACCTCTGTCCCCAACTATATGTCCCGCAAGCTTCCTCCCTTTCTAGGCCTTGAGATTCCCGTCCGTTCAGTGAAGAGAGAGGGCTAAATGATTTCTAGGTGAAGTTCGGAGGAGATCATGCTTGTAACAGATAATGCTAGTTGCCCAAATGTCCACTCTCTCCTTCCATCATAAAAGAGCTTGAGGTGGGCACATGGCCACTCAGCTGAAGACATCTCCTAGGTTGTCCTTGCAGCTAGGTGGGGCCATGTCACTAAGTTTTAACCAATGGGATGAGAGTTGAAGCAATTGGACCTATTCTGTTTTTAGGAGTACATGTGCCCTCCTGTGGCAGATTATATTTTCCAAAGATGACCACAAAAGTACCTTCTCTCATTGTAGTTCTACAATGGGTCCTGCGTCCCCTCTTCTTGAATCTGGGTTGACTTGTGACTGCTTTGACTGGTAGAGTATGGTGGATGATGCTGTGTGAGGCTTCTGAGGCTAGGTCATAAAACACGATTGCTATGGGTTGAATTGTGTCCCCCGAAATTCCTATGTTGAAGTCCTAACCTCCAGTACTTCAGTATGTGGCCTTATTTGGAAATAGGGTCATTGTAGATGTAATTAGTTAAGATGAGGTGATACGAGAGTATGGAGAGCCTCTAATCCAATATGACTGGTGTCCTTATAAAAAGGGGAAATTTGGACACAGAAACAGACATGCGCAGAGGGAAGACAATGTGAAGATACACAGGGAGAAGTTGCCCATCTTCAAGCCAAAGAGAGAGGCCTGGAACAGATCCTTCCCCTACAGCCCTCAGAAGGAGCCTGCCCTGCTGACACCTTGATTTCAGACTTCTAGCCTCCAGAATGGTTCCTTAAAGCACCCTGTTAGTGGTACTTTGTTAGGGCAGCCCTAGCAAACTAATCCACAGTGCAACCTCCACATGTTTCTCTTGGAATGCTCACTCTGGGGGGAGCCAGCTACTGTGCAAGTTCAACTACCCCAAGAACATCGTGCTGGAGAAGCCACATGTAGATACTATGGTTAACAACCCACCAATAGCCAGCACCACCTGCCAGATGTGCAAGTGAGCCTTCTTAGGTATCGGCTCAGTGGAGCTTTCTGGCAGCTGCAGCCCCAGCCAACCTCTGGCTGTAACTGCATGACAGACCCCAAGTAAGAACCACCTAGGCAGGCGCTTCTCGGTCCTGACCTACAAAATCACGTGTGCCATACAGTGATTGTTTTAAGCTGCTGAATTTTAGGGTAACTTGTTAATATAGTAACCAGAACACAGTCCTGACCTACAAAGTCACATGTGCCGTACAGTGATTGTTTTAAGCTGCTGAATTTTAGGGTAACTTGTTAATATAGTAACCAGAACACCTACCTTTCCCCTTCCCTCCCCACCACTGGCTGGCACACAGATGGGGAGAGGGTAGGCCATCTTCAATCCTGTACATGAGGGCTTGGAAGCCACAAAATAGGAGCCTGGGCTCTTGGATGCCCTTGTGGAGCAGAGCTGCCAACTCCCCAGATTCCACTCACATTTTATGTAAGAGAAATAAACTTCCATCTTGTGAAAGCCACTGTTAATTCCATCTGTTTTTTTTTTTTAAGTCAAACCAATGTCCTAGCAATATGACGTGTATAAAACACATACCTCAATGCTTTTTTTAAAAGGTAGAAATTGCTATTGTCATCATTATTATTACATCTAAGTTTCCCTCTGGCTCTAACATTGGTTGAGTCTGATCAGCAGTGGATTGACCTGCTCAACAGTCCTCAAGGTGACCATAAGGTGAACCCCTGTCACTGGTGGTCAACCACACAGCAGAAATTGTCAGTGGCCATGCGTAATTCTTACCAGATTTCTCTTCCACTAGCCTCAAACTGACCACAGCTCTCCCCGGCAAACAAACGTACAGAGGACCATGGACACCAAGACACAGACACATTTTCCCACTCCTCACCACACAATGAACCAAAGCTCCAGGCAGTCGCTGCATGCTCCCATCCCACGTGTCCTGCTGCAGGGGACATGGAATTGGGAGAGAGAAGATGGGGGCAAAATAGGATGGGATGATGAGTGGGAAGAGGGAGCCAGAAAAACTAACTCCACTCTGAGAAATCAGGAGCAGCTTCTGGGAGGAGGTGACCACTATGCCAAAGGCATTTTCCAGGCTGAAGAGAGGGAAAGAGTCTACAAGTGGGAAGAGTGGCCTGGACAAAGGTACACAGCATCGGAATCCACATAGCCCATGACATACACCAGCCCCTGGACCAGCCTTGTGTCCCTCACCCTCTGACACTACCTCAAAGAAGGCTGGAGGACAGCAAAGGGGATGGTGGGTATCAGAGCCCCGTGGGCCCCTAGAACAGGTTGTGTCTGAGCAGGGGCATCCCCTGCAGCTATGGCAAAGCCAGCTTTAGAGTCTTATCCCCTCCCAGAGCCATCTAAATGCAAATAGTCCTGCATGGCCCATCCTGCCCTTCTCATCCTCTCTGAGTCTGGGGTTTTAACCTCAACCCGGTTCTCCCCATCATCCCGCAGCCCCCTGCCTCAGACTTGGGTAGGTCCTGCTGAACTAAAGGCCCAGGAGAGAAAGCCCACAGACAGAGGAGGCTGTGTCTGAAGGGGAAGACACAGGTCCTTCCTTCAGGGGACTTAGAAGCGGGACAGGACAGAGACATGGACAAAATTCTCAATGAACAGAGAGGTCCATGACAGCTGGACAGCCCAGGGGGCAGGAAGAGTGCAGATCAGGGTCAATCAAGGCAGGCTTCCTGTAGGAAAGGGGCTGGGAAGGAAGATTGTCAAGGGAGATCAGCCTGCAGACAGGCACTGGGATAGGTGCAGGGTGGTGAGGGCTTTGTGTTAGACTCCACTTTAAATATCCACAGTCCCTTTAAACTTCAGTGTCTAGCCCAGGGGATGAGGGCGGCACAGTTGGGCCTCCTATGACCTTGTTACTAGGAAGGCACAGTTAGTGACTTACCCACTGAGAGCGAATTCGGCAAGGTGGGGGAGGGTGGTTGCTGAGGGAGAGGGCACCCTGCACACTCTCACTGCTCCCCCTACTCAGGAAATGGGACACGGTTGAAATGTCCCTTTTGGCCAGCACACACACACACACCGCACCCCCCAAATGGCTCTTCCTCCAGGTGCCATCTTGGATCCCATCTCCACCTCCAGCCACTGCAGCCCGGTGGCCTATTAATACGGCTCCTCAGGGGAGCCGCCCAGGGATATGGGGGCCTAGCCCGTCCCCTCGACCCCCGTCTCCATCTTTGTGGGCGGGGGAGGGGGCGGCTCTGTCTCCATGTACTCTTCCAGGCTGCCTAGCATGATCCCCATCTTCTGTCGACCCTTCCTGCTGCTCCGTCCCTTTCTCAAGAACTCCCACCACCCCCCGCCCCGCCCGCCATGCGACTAGAGTTCCCGCCACAGAGGTCCCGTGTCTGGGCGCTGTCGGCCCCGCGGTGTCTTCTCAGCTCCGAGCAGAAGGCGCCTCCCAGCCCGCCCCGCCCGGCCCGGGCCCCTCTTGTCTGAGACGCCGGCCGAGTCTTCACGTGTCCCGGATCCCGCGCCTCGCCCTCCACGCCCACCGGATGCCACTCCCAAGAAGGAGAAGGGACAGGAAACACACGCACACACTCCGTGTCTGTGAATCTGCTTTTTATTTGGGGACCGGGGAGGATCACACACAGCCCTCCAGCCCAGGGGGCGGGGGCTCCGAGACATGGACGGAGGGCCCCAGCCCGAGCCCTCAGGCGTCCGGGCGAGGACTGCGGGTTCCGGGCAGGAGCAAATGTGCAGATGAGGCTGGTGCGGTTCGCGGGTCTCCCGGGAGGCCTCGAGGCCGACACTACACGTAGGCGCCTTCCGACCTGCGGGAGGGAAAGGAGAGGACTCGGATCCGGGGAGGCGAGACGGGGGAGGTCGCGAGGGACGGTGCCAGGGTGGGAGTGCGTGGGGCGGCGGGGCAGGCGGCAGGCTGTGTGGTGACGGGGGCGCTTTTACCGCGACTTGACGGGGCGGTCCTGGCCGTCGGGGAGCAGTTCTGAGAGGAGCGCTTCCGGGCTGTAGCGTTTCCCATACCTGCGGGGCGGGCCCGCGAGGGGCGTGGTCAGGCGCGGCCACGCCCCCAGGGCGCGCGGGATGAAAGGCGCGGGCTCCCGAGGCCCGCTCCACCCACCCTGCGCATGCGCTCACCGCTGCCGGGTGACCAGGTTGAGGTAGTGGCGCAGCGAGGCGTAGTAGCGGCTCAGCTCCTCCGGGGAGGCGTCTTCACCAGGAGCCTCGGGTTTGGTTGGGTAGGCGTCGCCCAGGGCCCCCAGACAGACGAGCAGGGCCAGAAGCACTGCGGCCATGGCGGGCCACGGCCTGCGCATCGTCACCATCTGGGAAGGAGACATGGGAGCGTGGCTCACTCCGTGCCTCGACCCTCAACGGCGGGAGGCTGCGGCTGCCGTCGGGCCCACGCTCCGGCGGCCTGTCTGGGGCTGGTACTGGACCAGGACTCAGCCAGCGGCTTGCTGTGTGTTCTCCGGCACCTCACCATCTCTGTCCTCAGTTTCCCCATCTGTCAGAGGGGTATAAGCCCTGCCTGCCACCCCACCCCAATGCCCATCCCCGCAGCTGCCCAAAGGAAGAATATGCTAGTGGTGGGGCTCCAGGGCTTCTTCCCGCCCGTGCTGGCCCCATTCCAATCCAGCTTCCGCTACTCAGACCCAGCTTCCACCATCCCAGCCTCAGTTTCCCCACTGGGTTCCCTGGTACCAGACCATTCCTGAGCCACTCACAGTGACAGCTCCCAAAGCGAGATGAGCAGGAGGTGGAAGGCGATTGGGACTGCTGCAGGTCGGGCTGTGGCCTCCAATGCTCAGAGCCTTCCCTGCGGGGCTTATATCCCAGCCTGCAAAGGGAGGGGGAGGCCCAGAGGGAGGGGGAGCCGGCAGGGGGAGGGCCCTTCCTCCTCCCTCCCTCCACCCCCGCCGGATCGGTGAGCTTACACCCAGTCAGTACGTGATGTCTCCACCTTGAAGGAGCTGAGGAGGCAGCTGCCATGCTCAGACTCAGGGTCCCACTGGACCGGGTGCCTAACCTGAACCCCAAGGTCACCCCACAGCCCCCCAGTAGCAGGTCTAGTCTCCTGAGGAAGTGAAGAGTTTGGATCTGGACTCCTAGGGCAGCTCATAGGACCAGGGATGAGATTCCATCTTCCCTAGCCTGTCCATGGGTGGGAGTGAGGGAGAGGAGGGAAGACGCATTTACTCCAACCTGCGAGAACTGTGACCACCCCTTCCAAAAGGCAACACTTTTCAGCTTCTGCTCAGTAATTCCTTGGAGAAGGCCTGGAAGTGACAGGACCTGTGGGGGAATTCTGGGAGCATATGACCTTGACTCCTGATCTGCTGTTTATGATGTCCTGGGGCAAAGGCTTCTTGGACCCTCCATTATGTCCTCTCCCATTGAAGAGTTGGGAAGAGAGGCATTAGGAGACAGAAGCCAGTCTCCTCCCCAGAAGCAGCTGAGTCAGCTACCTGTGCATCCAGCCTGACACATACAGACCCTAGTCCCTCCCAAGGCAGAGTGTCCCCACCCCCATCCAGGTGTCATTCAGAGCACTTGTGTCTTCCGGAGCTGAATGACATGAAGGCTGCCCAAGCACATGCCACTATTTCCTGCCCACTGCAGTCTTCAGTGGGCTCTGGGACCGAGATCCTCACCTAGAGCCTTTGAAGGAAAAAGGAAAGGACTAATGTTTATTAAGCACCTACTGTGCACTGGGTACTATATAATTTCAGGCACAACAATGTGATAAGCTGAGTTTATCCCCATTTTACAGATGAGAAAACTAAAGCTCTGAGAGGTAACAGAGCAGCCAAGATCACCCATGGGGAAATGAGGGTGGGACAGACTCTGAGAGGCCAGAGTGGGGGAAGGGCTTCCAGACTGCCAGCCACATCACACCCGCCTGCCCCCACCAGGAAGAGAGGGCTGTTGGGGAGTCTCCCCATAAAGCCCTTTCCAGCCACCTTTCCCCAGCCTGGCCAAAGCCTCCAGTGCTTCCAGAGTCCCATCAGCCCATGGGGACATGAGGGGCCATCTTGTCCACCTCCCTGGTTCTGGGCCAGCCCCTCGACCCTCCAGAACAGATGGCTGTGGGCACTATTTTTACAGCTCTCCTGAGATGGAGAGTCCAGGGCTCCCTCAATCACCTTTTTACGAGTTCAATCACCTGCACTCTCCGGAAATGGCTTCTTATCAGTCATTCAGCCCCCCTGGGCCCTGCATATCCCAAGAAATGCCAGGGTGCCTTGCTGAGACGGACATAGAAGAGAACACCAGGTCCAGGGGACAGGGATCCTACCCTTGGAGGGAGGGGAAAAATTATTCTTAGAGAGCCCTCGTCTAAGGGACAGGAAGAGCCCTGTCCTCCAAGAACTCCAGTCTCACAGGAGAGTCACAGCCATATCTTTGGGGATCCCCAGTCTGAGGTGAGGGGCAGCAGTATCACTAGTGAGTCCCAGTGTAAGGGGGAAGACACTCCACTATCCTTGGAGATCCCTAGTCTGAGAAGTTCCCAGAACATAGATTTACATTGATAAAGATAAGCTTGTGTCCAGTTTGGAGAGGAGATAGCAGAAATAAAATTCCACTCCTTCACGGAAAGACAAAGGCCATGAAAGACAAAAGAAACTTTGACACTGAGCGCCCAATCTACGCTGCCCTTAATCGCCTCATTAGCCAGATTGTTTCTTCATCTCCGCTTCCCTCAGATTCAATGGAGCCCTGAATTTTGATCTGACAGAATTCCAGACCAGCCTGATGTCCTCTCCCTGCATTCACTTCCCTGCGACCACACATGCCCCAGTCATCTCTGCTGAGAAAGCCTACCACGAACAGCTTTCTGTAGCAGAGACCAGCAATGCTCGCTTTGAGCCAGCCACACAGACGGTGAAATGCGATCCGCACCATAGTAAATACGTGGCCTGCTGCCTGCTGTACCGTGGTGATGTGGTTCCCAAAGATGTCAGTGCTGCCATTGCCACCACTGAGACAAAGCATACCATCCAGGGTGTAGGCTGGTGCCCCACTGGCTTCAAGGCTGGCATTCATTACCAGCCTCCCACTGTGCTTCCTGGTGGAGGCCTGGCCACGGTGCAGAGAGCCGTGTGCACGCTAAGCAGCAACACAGCCGCTGCTGCAGCCTGGGCTCTCCTGGACCACACGTCTGACCTGACGTACGCCAAGCGTGCCTTTGTTCACTGGTATGTGGGGGAGGGGATGGAGGAAGGTGAGTTTTCTGAGGCCCATGAGGACATGGCTGCCCTTGAGAAAAAAGTTATGAGGAGGTTGGCGTGGATTCTGCCGAAGGAGAGGGTGAGGAAGGAGGGGAATACTGACCAGCCCTTCCTTTCAGCCCTGCAGCATGTCATACTCCCTGAACTTCAGCTTTAGCAGTAGCTGACAGACATTAGAGCTTTCCAGTTAGGTTGTCTTGACTCAGCTGTGATTGTGTCTTACTTTTCCATGTGTACCTGTACGATTTTTGCATCATGTCTCAAAGTAAAGGTTTCAACAACAAAAAGAAAAAGAAAAGAAACAGGGTATGGGGGATAGAGAGTGCTGGGGTACGGGTACTTATTTTAGGATGGGTGGGTAGGGAAGGGCTCCCCTATTAGGTGGCACTTGAGGGAGGTGAGGGAGCAAACCGTGAGGCTACCTGGGGAAGAGTGCTCCAGGCAGGGGCAACAGCAAGGGCAGAGGCCCAGAGGTGGGAGATGCGTGGCAGTTTGAGGAACAGCAGGGAGGCCCATGTGGCTGGGGCCGATGGAGCAATGGGAGAGTTAGAAGATGAGATCGGGGAGGCAGCAGGGGGTCGGCTTTTGCTCAGAGTGAAATGAGAGCTTCAGGGCAGAGGGACCTGCGTTCTGAAAGCAGCGCTCTGCCTTTTGGGTTGAGAATAGACTGAAGGGGGGCAAGGTCAGAAGCCCGGAGGTCAGTTAGGAGCCCATTGCAGTAACCAGCCATATGCACACGACACTCCTCACAGCAGCAAATGTCCCACTCGTGCTTAACCCGAGAACAACTCCCAGTTATGTCCGTACAGTACTGACATCTAGCTTTCATCTAGCTGAAACAACCCACTGGAGAAGAGAGTGGAAAATCAACGATGTCTACAGTAGTCAGGTCATGGCTCCTCCTTTAGTAGTCCATGTGAAACTCTCTATGGACCTTTATTACTGGCCACAGCCCAGGAAAATAATAGTGAGTGTGACAGTGCCTATAGAAATGAAAACATGTTTATTTTGTCATTTGCTCTCTTACTTAAAAACACTCTGGAAAAAGAAATCAAGAAAGCAAGCACATTTACAATATCTACCAAAAAGATCAAATACCTAAGAATATATTTAATCAAGGAGATGAAAGATCTCTACAACTAGAACTACAAATCACTGTTGAAAGAAATTAAAGGAGACACAAAAAGATGGAAAGACATTACATGGTCTTGGATTGGAAGAATTAACATTGTGAAAATGTCTGTACTACCCAAAGCAATCTACCTATTCAATGCAATCCCCATCAAAATACCAATGATATTCTTCACAGAAATAGAAAAAACAATTCTAACATTCATATGGAACAACAAAAGGCCCCAAATAACCAAAGCAATCCTGAACAAAAAGAATAAAGCTGGAAGCATTACACTACCTGACTTAAAATTGTATGACAAAGCTATAGTAACCAAAACAGCATGGTACTGGCATAAAACAGAAACATAGACGAATGGCACAGAATAGAGAACCCAGAGATTAGTCCACGTACTTACAGCCAATTGATCCTCAACAAAGGTACCGGGAACATACATTGGGGAAAAGACAGCCTCTTCAATAAATGGTGCTGGGAAAACTGAATATCCATGTGTAGAAGAATGAAACTAGACCCATACTTCTCACCATATACCAAAATCAACTCAAAATGGATTAGACTTAAATATAAGACCCGAAACTATAAAACTCATAGAAGAAAACATAGGGGAAACACTTCAAGTTGTAGGACTGGGCAAAGACTTTATGAATAAGACCCCAGGTAACAAAAGCACAGGCAACAAAAGAAAAAAGAATCAAATTGGATTATATCAAACCAAAAAGCTTCTGCACAACAAAGGAAAAAATCATCAGAGTGAAAAGACAACCTAAAGAATAGGAGAAAATATTTGCAAATTATGCATCTAACAAGGGATTAATATCCAGAATAAACAAGGAACTCAAACAACTTAACAGTAAAAAAGCAAATATTTCAACTAAAAAATGGGCAAAGGAACTGAATAGACATCTCAAAAGAAGACATACAAATGGCCAACAGGTACATGAAAAAATGTTCAATATCACTAATCATCAGGAAAATGCAAATCAAAACCACACTGAGATATCATCTCACCCCAGCTAGACTGGCTATTATCAAATAACAAATGCTGACACAGATGTGGAGAAAGGGGAACCCTTCTGCACTGTTGGTGGGACTGTAAATCAGTACAGCCATTATGGAAAACAGTCTGGAGGGTTCTCAAACAACTACAGATAGAGTTACCAAATGGTCCAGCAATCCCACTACTAGGTATATACCCAAAGGAATGGAAGTCATGTGGAAGAGACACCTGCACTCCTATGTTTATCATAGCTCTATCTGCAGTAGCCAAGCTATGGAACCAACCTAAATGTCCATCGACAGAGAACTGGATAAGAAAAATGTGGTAGATATACACAATGGAATGCTACTCAGCCATATAAAAGAATGAAATTCTGCCATTTGCAGCAACACGGATGAACCTGGAGAAAATTGTGTTAAGTGAAATAAGCCAGGCACAGAAAGAGAAATACCTCATATCCTTGC